AATAAAAATAATTTAAATTGAGAAGTGGAAATCATGGTCCCATTTGGAAAATGTGATAAGAGTAGACAGTAAGTCCCACTGGGACAGTATGGAACTACTATCTAATGTTAAAACCGTGTAATGGGATCAGTCGAATTGGTAATGGGACTATCAAAAAATCTGGTCCTGGTCCCAGACACGGTCACACGGTCAGTCTAGCTACTCTTACTTCAGAGATCTTTGACTATTCAAGTGTTTTTATATATACTAGAACAGAGGCATTTCTTTTACTTTATCTGAACTCAATTGAATTTAGTCATACAGGCTTCTTTCTCAGTTGAATAGAGTTGTATTCTTTCAATTCATTTTTGAGAAGTAGCATTTCTTCTTCACAGTCAAAAATTTCAACTGAAATATCATGAAGAATGAATTTGTCTCACTTTTCATCTCTTTTAGATAGAATTGTTGTGTTTAACAAAGATTCTACTGCTGACTTTCAGAGATTCTCATTCTGAATAAGGAATTCAGCACTGAATTCAGACATTGTAGTCAGAATGATGAAGTTTTCAAAGAATAATGACTCAATTGAAGCTATAACTGGTTTTTGAACTTCAATATCAGTTATTAACTGAGAAAAGAACTGCTGATTAATTTCATTTCTGATTCTGAAAATGAGATTTGAGTTTAGCTTGTTTCTTTGCAGAATGTTCTGATTTGAGACTTTAAGAATAAGTCTTCTATTTCTGAAGATTTGAAAGTTTTTCTCTTTTTACATTTTCTTTTTCACTTTTCTATGAATAGAGGTATGAGCAGTATTCTTCTCAGTTTTCTCAGGATTTTGAGCAGGTTTTGAGACAGCAGGTTTAGAGACAGCAGATTCAGCTGTTTAAGTATATATTTTCTTCTGATTCAAAGAAGAAGAAGAAGTAGAAAAAAAAGAAGAAGAGTAAGATAAAGAGTCAGTGATTGTACTAGAAATTTTCAATGTTTTTTAAACTGTGTTTGAGATTTCAAGTTTGAACTTGATTATCTTCTGTAGTTGTCTAGCCTGAGCATGAAGAATTAACAGAACTTCTTCATTCATCTCACTCAGACACTGCTTTTCAAGAATCTTGCTTACTTTTTCAAGTTTCTATATTTCAAGAACTTGTTGTTTCTCTATTTCTTCTTTCTTTCTTCTCTTCAGAATTTCAATCTCAGAAATAGCATTTAAGAAAGCATCTTTTTCCACATCAACTGAGTGTATTTTTGAACTCATTATTCTCACTCAATGAAAAGTTGGTCAGACTGTTTCAATTGAGATATTTCTAAGTCTGTTTTCAATTGAAAAGTTGATCAGACTGTTTTAAAAGAAGAATAAAAGACTTTTGTATATAAAACACCTGATTTTTTTCACACTAGTTCAGTAACTAGGTTAGATTTTTGAAGAGAATCTAATAAACTAAAATTGATTTTTGAGATAAATCAATAAAATCTTTACAATCTCTTTCTTGAGATACAGTGAGAAAGAGTATGATATCAATTGATAATGAATCAGATAATATGACAGTTTTTGAGAGAAAAACTGATAAAAAATAAATCAATTTTTTGCAGAGAAATTGATTAAAACTATTCAATTTTATTTTAAATCATTCAATTCTTCTCACACAACAAGTATACAACTCAAATCAGTTAATAAAGAGTGTAAAAAAGAATTAAGTATTAATAAAAGCTCTTCAGTCACTGAAAAAGTAATTCTTACTTAAAAGAATATGAAATTATAACAGAAAACAGCTCTGTTTTTAATTCTTTATAAGAATATTATATAAAATTCAGAGAAAAACATCTTACTTTTTCAAGAGAAGTAAAAAACTATTTCTAAGATCTTTTTTTTTTTGCATTAACTGCTGCAGAAGAATGAGATAGAAACTACTAAGATATACACTACTGTATATCTTTTATCAAGACTTTCCCTCTTCAGAGTCTTGATATTATAGAGAATATAAGTCTGTTTCTATATAATAATATAAATATTGTCAGTGAGATGTAGAGGAACTGATTATTTATATCTCAAAATAGAAGACTTTGTCAATGATTATATTAATATAGAGTTAATTCTTAAATTCAATAGAAATCTAGTATTGCTGTTCTCAATCTCTTGCAGAATCTATTGAATATTGAGATATTAAAACTAGATTTAATATATCTCACTATGCAGAGATCAAAGACTCAGTCAGATCTTGAAGTATACTAATTTTATAGTTATTAATATGCTGTTGACTTGTTATTCACTGATTATGTATTGAATGCTGTTGCTGAGGTATCTTTTTGTATTATTCTGTCAGAGATGAGCCAGATTAAGAGAAGTAGTATAAGAGTGAGACTTGATATTGAAGTCTAGATACACTGATAACAGACTGTGAAGATTGCACTTCAGAAGTGTCTGTTGATTATGTGCTTGATATTATCACTGAGATATCTTTTTGTATTTTTCTGCTGAAAAGGAGCCAGATTGAGAAGGGCAGTATGAGAGTGAGACTTGATATTAATGTTTTGAAATATCAAAGATGAACAGGGTTTTCACAGAGATCACTTCTCAGATATCTTCACAATTACACATTGAGAATCTTTCAAAATCAAGAAGATTGACACATATGACTATGTCTCTTCATCTTACAATTTGTATGGCACTTTGGCCCAGGGTTGTGATGTGATAGGGATGAATGAGGAATAATCTCACATGAGAGTTTTGAACAATGTCTAGTTCACATTTGGCTGGATATCTTCACCACCACACGGGGTATGCGGTCGGCGATGGGGTCAAAATGCTCATATGATCGAGGGCTTTTCAATGGATCTATCAGCGGGTTCTTATTCGAAAAATCGAGCGAGTTCGTGGTGGAGCGGTCTGTTGTGTACATGCGACAGCTGTTTTTAAATTAAAGAACTTTCATCTCTTTCTTATTATTTCTTTTCAAGCCTTTCTTACATCTGATCATTCTTTGTATAAATAAGTAATTCTATCACTCAGTCTTCTCTTTTCTATAATATCTGCAGTATATGTAAATGAACTAGCACTTCTGAATAATATCTGCCTCTTTGTGCCTAGTACTTGTGATACTTATCATCTTTTTTCAATGTCATTTTTTTCTCCACAAATGCATCTTTTCAGATAGAGAGACTGTGGCATACTTTTATTCTCTATTCAACTCTAGCTTCTGCTTCATCTCTTGCTATTTCCTGAAGCTTTCACTTCTATCTTCTCTCTCTGCTCTTTTCTTCATATACAATTACTTCTTCTATGAGAGCTTTTACTTCTTTTCTACAGAGTCTTTATTCTTTTCTTCATATATAATTGCTTCTTCTATAAGAGTGTCTGCTTCTTCTCTACAGAGTCTCTGTTCTTTTCTTTATAGATGATCACTTCTTCTACAAGAGTTAATCTCTATAAAACAATCACTGTATATATAAGAGTGTATACTCATCTCTCATCTTTTAGAGAAAGAGACAAGTTTTTACCCTTATATCTGACTCTATGTAGCGGCGTACGCTACAAAGACTATTAAAAAATCTGGTTCTGATTTCAGACACGGTCACACGGTCAGTCTATTCACAACTCAGCTTAAATACTATTATATATTTAATCTTTACATTTTATCTTTCTACTGTGAATACTTCTAGTAGTTAACAGTACATATTACATCAAGCTGTAAACATCTGAATAATCGCCTGTAAGCACTTATTCTTATATAAATATAGTCTGTTAAAATAGCTATATACTATCTTTTAATAATTTGTTTTATTACAGTTTTTTCTTACTTTACTTTTTCCTTTCTATTCTTTTCTATCTATCTATTTAATATGTCTATCTTTAAGACTGTGTTCTCTTTTCTTTTATCATGATATTGTTAAATAATTTCAAAGTATTAGAAGATGTTAAAATACTGTAATTTATAAACAGTTTTTATATTCTGAGCTAAAATTTTCTGATTTTATATATCTGAAATTAATAAATGTATAATAGTTAACTTTATAAATATAGGAAAAACTCTGAGAACTAAAAGTTCTTAGATAGATGTTATAGTCTCTGACTATATACATTTATAATTGAAGAATAATAATAATAATAATAATAAAGTATATATATATTATATAAAAGTAACACTTTTTAATAATACTCAGTCTCTGATATTATGAAAATAGAGTCTCTCTGTGAGATCTGTTTTTATCAGAAGTCAGAGAATTATATATTTCTTAAGATTATCTTTATATATCTTATTTATGAAATTAATGAAGAGAATTATTAATTTCAGTATTCTATTCTTAATATTATTTAAGTGATAGCAGAGTTCACTTTAATTACACTTTTTAAGTATATATTTTCTAATTATTCATATTTATACTGATATATACTGATTATTTATTAGATAATATTAAAATAATAATGTATTACAGCTGTGTTATTCTTACTATAAAAGATATATAGTTAATAATAAATATTATAAAAACTCTGAGAAGTAAGTATTTTAAAAGTTCTATAACTTTATAATCTTGATTTTTTTTATTTTTCTTTTTTCTTTTTTTCTTTCTCTTTTTTTTTATTATAATTTTTTTCTTGTTTTTATTTTATTTTTTATTTTTTATTTTTTTTTTATATTTTATATTTTTTTATAATTAAAATTATATAAATTATAATCTATATTTAGAAAAGTAATAATATTTAATAACACTCTTTATTAAATTTTTAACAAATGAGTACTATATTATAATATTATATAAGTAAGAAATGATTTTATAGTCTTATTTAATATCATTCTTAATAATGAAATCAGAATGAAAATGTAACTAAGAATTTAAATATATTCTTTATCTAAGACTAGATTTTTATTTGAAAAGTGAATCTGAGATCTTTAATATTTGAAATAATGTGATTTGAAATCATGATGAACATAAACCATGATCAGAAGTAATGCTTTTAGGCAATGTGACAACTGTAAAGTTTGGTCCTGGTCCCAGACACGACGGTCACACGGTCAGTCTACGGAGCTTGCGATCGCCGATCACGTGGATTGGCGGTCGCAGCGAGCGTGTGGGCCGAAGCGGTCGGCCCGCAATCCTGTCGAACAATATGCATGACTTTGATGATAAATATAAGAAAGATGTGTACGAGTGATATTTAATTGAAAAAGATGCATATTGAATGATAATTGAATGATTCAGAGAAACATGTATATTTTGATTTCTTGGCAGTGTTTTGCTACTAATTTCAGAGCGCTGGGAAAATTCTGTTCGCAAGCAATCTGTCCACCATCAAAACCAACACCCAAAACTACTACAGCTTCTGCGCTGTCCAACTCACCCCTGCGGCCTCCAACGCATCATCCCCATCAACAAGCACACACCAGCCCTCACTCCCATTACTGCCCGCCTCCTCCCCCGCAATCGCCGCCTTGAAGTTCTTCCGCGCGTACTCTAGCACCTCGTTATCAAAGGTTCCCGGCTGTAGCCACACGGCGGGGATATCCAACGTCTTTGCCTCCTTCAGGACCGCCAGCGTCACTTTGGGTGGGGTGACGATGGAGAGAGATGTCTGGGTAGGCACCTGGAGAGCGGAGGGCGACGGGACAGTCTTGTATGTCTTTGAGGGCAGGGGGATTTCGGAGGCCCGCGGGTTCAAGGGAGTGACGGGGAGGGAGTGCTGGTGGTACCAGGCGAGGACTATTCGTGGTGAAATGTTACTATGAGCATCCAGGAACATCAAATGGCTTATTTTCATTTTTCACCCGTGTGGATTGCTTATATATATAACTCACTCTTGTAGCCAAACTTGCTGGGATCGGTGCTGGCGCCGGCGACGGCGAATCGTGGAGAGGAGAAGAAAAGTTTTGCAGCGGCCTCCATTTTCAGGTCAAATGGTGTGTATTGATTTCTTCTGGAAAATAATGGAATGGTATCCGGCGTATATGGAGTTGTTGAGAGATGCTGGCTGTGTTGTGTCTTAGGAAGAGGTTTACTGTTTTTACCTGACTACTAAATATTTTGAATTGCCTGATATTTACCCCGCCGAGGTCCCGACCAGCTCCAAACTTCTGTCTACTCCGCAAACTAGGAACACAATGGTCGGGTTACGTTACCCTGAATCCTGTTCACGAGTAAAGCATTCATTGTCCGAACAACAAACACCAACAACTCGCTTCTTTAACATACGCCTCAGCAACCCCTCTATTGATTTCAATGAGATACGCTCTAGTCAAGGCCATCATTCATACTCTCCAGGTCCAGGTTAAATCAATGGGTCAGTCAAGAAATTCTAATCCGTACATAGACAAGCATTAAATTGTATGCCTTATCTCAGCGGGCTCAGACCCTCTGGCTCGGTTTGAACAGGTTGCAGCATTATTAACTAATCTGGCATGACACTAACCTACTTTTGATACAAGTCATGTGCTCAGAGCAATCCTTGTCAGAGGATCTGAGAAGAAACAGTTTCATCTTCAATGAAGATTTCTGAGATTTATAAGAATTTTTCAGATTCTTCAACTTTGACTTTCTATTACTATATACTCACATATCTTTGAGATTTGAAAATCACCTTAGCTTATAGCTAAAGAGAAGAAGAATAGAAATATTTCTTTAATATTTTAAAAAAATCTATATTTAAGATAGATATATACTCTTGAAAATAATTATATTTTTTAATCTCAGAATTTCTAAGAGCTTTTTTTTATATGAGAAATTGAATTAAAATTACTGTATTCAAAAATACATTAGTTAACTTTAAAATAATACTTCTATTCTAAGAACTTAAGATATGAATATAAAAATCAGATATATTATAAGAATATTATTATTCTAAGATTTTAAAATAATATAGAAATAATGAATTTATGAAATTAAGTTAAAATTCTCTTTTATACTTAAAGTACTAAGTAAATTATTCTTATATTATTAATAATCAGAAACTGTTTCTTTTCAGATACTTTATAAAATATTATTACTTATATAATCTAATTTTACTATTTAAGTTAGCTTATTACTTATTTGAGACTAGCTTATAATATAATTATTAATTCAGTATTAAAATGATAATAAATATCTGAAGAATCTATTAACTGATATAACTGTTATAATTAGTAATCTTACTAAATTATATAACTTATTACTATATTATATTCTTATAAATAGATCTATTAATACAATCTTTAACTATTCTATAGATTATAGTCTGAATGACATGTTTTTCTTTTTAGAATATTATATTAATATTTTTAATAAGAATAGTTTATCTTTTTTAAAAAGACTCTTACTTTTTATTACAGATATTTCATTTTCTCTGAATCTATCAGTCAGTAGATTTATATACTTTTGAAAAAGTATGTTCTTCATTGTAAAGAGAAGTAGAGTTATCTTGATATAAGTAATATATCTATTACTTCAGAGTTTAGCTCAAGGCTCAGAATTACTCACTCTACTAGATAACTTATTAATAGAATAATTACTTATTATAAGAAGGTTTCTGACTTGTAAGATAAGACTGAGATCAGTTTTCATCAGAGTATGAAATTTAATAATGAAATAATGAAGAAGCTTCAGAATAAAGAAAAGCAAAGTTAATATTTATCTATAGAATCTGTTTATTTTAACTTATTAAATTCTTCACTATCTCTCATCTTCAGAATACTGACTTTTAATGATGATCTGAATCAATCTATCTATTATACCGCAGACAATTTTATGAATTTGATACAGATAATACTTCAGAATTAAATAACTATAACTGAAATTATATAATATCTTACTATATCTGTTTCTGTATAAAGCTTACAAGATATCATGAGAGATGAGTTGTAGAAATATTAAAAGAAAGTTAAATATATACTAGATATTAAATCAGTGATCACATTTAATAGCTTTAATTATAAAGTCTGATATGTTAATATGTTAACTAATGCAGAAGTTATTAATGAAATTAACATTTTATTAAAAACTTAATAAGAAAGCTTTTTTAAACATTATATTAATTCTAACAAGTGAAAGATTTGTTTCAAGTCTCTATATAGATATATACTGTTAGACTGACTGCTGAGATTATGAATTTCACATTTAATCTCATTTAATCTAATCTCATATATTTCTTGATATGAATTCTGCTGAGACTAGTCATTTAAAAAACCTGCAAAGTAACAATATATCAAATCTCAAAATGAAATCATGACTTGAAAAAAATGAGAAAGTGATTTCATTTAATCTCATTTAGTTTCATTCTTGACATAAAGTTACTATTTTTAGACATTTGAAGGTTTTTTTTACACTATGTTTAAATTTTTAAAAAGTAACACTTTTTGATAACACTCAAATGAGATTTAAAGTCATTTAAAGCAATAAAAATAATTTAAATTGAGAAGTGAAAATCATAATCTTATTTGAAAAATGTGATAAGATTAGACAGTAAGTCTCACTGAGACAGTATGAGACTACTATCTAATGTTAAAACTGTGTAATGAGATTAGTTGAATTGATAATAAGACTATCAAAAATTCTAGTTCTGATCTCAGACACAGTCATACGGTTACACGGTCAGTCTATATACTATCAAGCCTTGTTAAAAATATTTAAATCACTATTAAAACCTTAGAAGCTGATAATACTGCAGCTCTATGAGATAAGATTAATATTGAATATATAATATCACTGACTGAAGAACATGTTAATATCTTCAAAAAATTAACAAAATTACAAGTTAAGAATAGTGATTATCTTACTTTTTAAAGACATTTTCACTATTTTATTACTCATCACAAAGAGCTCTGTCAGAGTATTGAAGATGTATATTAAAATCTTTTTCTTAACAATCTACAAGATTATTAAAAACTATTTATCAAGATACATCTGAATGAGTTTTTCTTCACTGACTAAGAACTCATTGTTAATATTAATATTAATAATTTAATAAAGTAACTGATTAATTTAATGTTCAAAAAGAGTATCACTGAGTGAAAGAAGCAGTCTCAGACTGATTCTGTGACTGTGAAAAACAATAAGAATAAAGATAAGAATAAAAGCATAACTGTATAAAAGTACACTCACTGTAAAAGACATGAATATACTGTTGACAGGTGTTTCATCTTACACTCTGATAAAAAGAAAAAGAAGATGAACAAGAAGAATGATGATAAAAAGAAAGAGAAGAAGAATGACTTAATAAGTTCTCAATCAGCAGTAAATGTAGTAATTACAAAGATTGAGTTCTATTTCTCTTTCACAGTCACTGAAAAACCATTCTCTAGATCTTGATATTTGAACACATGTACAAGTCTGAATATGATAAGTAAGCTTCATTCTTTTTCAAATATTAAATCTTTTAATAATAACATCTCTGTTAATTCTGAAACTGAGAGAACTGAGTTTGTTAAGAAGATTGAAACTATTATCTTGAAGATTAAGAGTAATGATGTTAACTTGCAGAATGTTCACTATATTTGTATTATTATAGTTAACCTGCTCTTATTTATAAAGCTTGAAGATCAGAGATTTCAATTTACATTATCTTTCACTATTTTTTTATTTTTCATACAGTTCAAATCACTCAGAATAACATATATATAATTACTGAATAAGAGTTCAATGAGATTTCTGATCATCTCAACAAGGCAGTCAAGTATATTATGATATCTTATGAATATAATTTTAACTGAAAAGTTATTCTTTCTGTGACTGCTGTTATTACTGTTAATAATATTGATTCTGCAGTTCTGAATATAGATTTTAAGAATACAAAGATATTAAGAACTCTTTTAAACTAGCACTGTAATCTCAGTACTGTAATCTCATTTATATTCACAATAATACTATAATTACTATAATCAAGGATTCTCATACTGAAGTTATAATTAAAGATTCTAAGACTGAGTTCTTTTGCAAAGAATGTGTTAAGACAGGTATATAATAAAATTATTTAAAAATACTGATGTCTAGATCTATTCAACTTATTAAGAAGATTCATATTATTATTCTTATAGATAATAAATATACATTGAAAGATCTCTCTGATTATTTCTTAGAGTTTCATCAGAAAATTAAATACTGAATGCTTATTATCTATGATGCAACTCACTACTATTGAGTATATTTTTTAAAGTTCAAGAATAAGACTGTTCAATACTTTGAGTTGTGACTCAGATTCATGAGTAATTTCAGATATACAGCTTCTGCTTTTCTATAAACTGATATTAATAATGTTTTCTAATTCATATATATACATACAGTCATGAATTTATATGATATTAAATGAAAATCAATAATATCTTATTCATTACACTAAGATAATATTTCTGAATATGAGATCTACACTATTATAAGACAGATTAGAGCTGCTCTTTTAAAAGATAATCTCTCTAAGAAGTTCTGAGCAGATGTTCTAGAGATAGTAATTATAATAATTAATAATACTCTCATATCTATAGTTCTTTACAACTTAACATTTTGACTCTCTACTGTAGAGACTTCTGTAATTTTAAGTTCATATAAGATTTCTTAATATACACTTATGAACATCTTATCAAATGTAAGACATTTTCACTGATTGAGTACAGAGATTTGTATTCACTTATATAAATCTTAGAAGTCTGTGAATAAGCTTTCTTTATATACTGATTTCTATTATATTATTGAATTCAGTGATATATTAATCTATTATCTATAAAATTCTGAATTTGATAAGATTATTATCAGTAGTGATATAAGATTTTCAATTACTGAAAAATCAGAATCAGTTATTATATCTATAACACTTATTAATTATATTATAGAATTGAAATCTAATATTTATCTGATTAATAATAAAGATACTTCTGATATTAATAATCTGAATACTATATAATTACAGTCTGTGAAATTACTGACTATATATATTTTAAGTCTTATTACAGATAATCTTCTGAAGTTCTATAAGAATGTTACATCTCACTTAAAGAGAGTAAAAGATTATTAAAAGAAGTTTATATAATATAAGATTATCAATCTGAAAAGATATAATATATAAAGTTTGATCTCTAGATCTGATATTCTGAGAAATAAATCAATTACTTCAGATTATTAAGTATTTTTTAAGAAAGATAGATCTGTAGATCTGAATACTGATTCTGATAATATTCTTAAAAAATTACATTGAGTGATTTATAATAACTGACTTAAGAAGAATTCTAGAGAAGAGATCTATACTTCTATTATCACTGATACTATCAATTATATTCTTTTTATAATAGTAGTACTACATAGTTAAATACTCTGTTAAGTGAATATAGTAATAATATATCTATATAAGCATCTCACTAAGAAGATCTATATAAGACAACTTACTGAATTTAAGACAGATTTGCTGAAAATACTTGTCTATGTAATTGAGAATAGTCTATACAGTCTGAATTCTATAGCAAAGATCTAATATAATTACTTAATAACTCTGCTAAGTGATCTTGAATTTGCTGTCAATATCTATATATATGTTTTCATTTTTCATATTGATAGTTGAATCAGAGAATTATTAATTTAAAATATATTTTCACTACTCAGATAATAGTGAATGAACTTATTAAATCTCTAAACAATGTGATATTTATACAATTCATGATTTCACTAGGTCTTACATATGTAAAAGTTGGGAATGCTTAATTTTACATTTGTATTTGGTTTTGACAGACTATCTTGGTGGATTGGGTGTTTTTGTATGTGATTCTTGTTATCTCGAGGGGGGGTGGCCGTTACGGCTGTTGCGGTTAGCGATCCCACTAGATCACGTGACCCACCACTATATTATGTTCTTGTACTATCCTACAGAAGCGTATGAGCTTGCTGAGATAATGTATGCCGGCGCAATCAATCAAGGTCATGTGACCTTGGGCTTTCTTCATTCATGGACATCTCGCGGCAACAGGAGTCAGCTTCGAAACCTTGCGACGAGAGAACTTACGTATCAGCACGAAAGCTTCTCCTTGGGCCACATGGCACACACGTAAAGCACCATATAATGATTTGACAATAAGACGAATGTGCGGTAATGCCGCTGCAAGATAACATATTCTTGAGTGGTGCCAGAGTATGCCTCCATTCCTACCCCGGAAACGGGGACTGTCCGAAGAGCCATTCCCCAACAAGCGTCCTGCGCTTGAACTCGCAGATCTAGGACCATCAACAAGAGAATATGCGAACGAAATCGCAGCGGGATTGTCTGATAACGACTCTGAATCACCCTTGACCTCGTTAGCTTCCACAGATACGGATGAAGGGAACCAAGGACATAAAACAGACGATGATGATGATGATGATGATGATGATGATGATGATGATGATGATGAAGAGAACTGGGAAGATGCGCTGCAGGCGACCTCAGCGTCAACTCCCGTTACACCGAAAAGCTCTACAGCGCCGCAAGACCTCGAGCTTACACTGGAAAAGAATCACACCACACTTACAGACCCCGTAGCTCCGGGCAAGAAAGGCCCCAGCAAGATTGAACGGGAGATACGCATCCAAACACATTGCATGCACGTGCAGTTCCTCCTATTCCACAATGCCATCCGTAACTGGTGGATCAATGACACAGAACTCCATCAGATTCTGCGAGACCAGTTACCACCCGCTATCAAGAAGGAAATCGAGAAATGGGAGATTGCCGCTGGCCGGAAACAACCTGAGCCCCCGCCCAATATCGGAAAAGGGAAAGGGAAGGATAAGAAGAAAAGTAACAAACGGCAACGAGACTGGGGGGAAGAGGCTTCTCGTCTAGAGCCCGGCCAGCCAGATTTGAGCGGGGGAGATCCCACAATCCAGCTTCTGAGGGTTCTTGCCGCGTACTGGAGGAAGCGTTTCAAAACTACAGCTCCTGGGCTACGGAAAATGGGGTATCGACCTATCGCGACGCTTCAGGAGGAAATCCGCTCTTTCCACAAAGGTGACCATGATAAATATGACCATGGTGAGCGGATTGGGAATCTAGATGAGTTTCGCGACATGGCATGTCGCTCTGAAGGCTCGCGGGACGTAGGTGCGCAGCTGTTTACTGCTTTGCTAAGGGCGCTGAATATTGAAGCAAGGATGGTCGCCAGTCTACAACCTCTCGGATTTGGATGGACGAAAGTGGAAAACTATCGCGTAAAGGAACAGGAGGCGGCAATGGCGACGGCGACGGCGACGGGGGTTGCTGCAGAAGTGCTACTAACCGCCAGTGAAGGAAGTAGTGATGCCGACGCCCCGTCGCCCAAATCTAGTATGCGGCGATTAAAGAAGAAAGATAATCTAGTTACAGGCAAGAGATTTGACAGCGATCTTCCCTTCCCAATATATTGGACTGAGGCGGTTTCACCAGTCACACATGAAATAATTCCAGTTGAGGCTCTAATTTTACCGAGCACCAATGCTGTCGCGACAACGCCTGAGCTTTTATCCTCATTTGAACCGCGCGGCATTAAAGCTGAAAAGGCGAAGCAAGTAATTGCATATGTGGTCGCATACTCACCAGACGCAACCGCCAAAGATGTCACTACCAGATATCTCAAGCGGCATACCTGGCCGGGGAAGACCAAGGGTTTCCGCATGCCTGTTGAGAAGATCCCCATGCATGGCGGTAGAGGGCCCGCGCGATATTTCTTCTACGATTGGTTCAAAGGTGCAATGAGGGGATACGTACGGCCAGAGGACAAGCGAACTATCGTTGACGAGAAGGAGGATGCGAAGGATCTCATTCCGAACCAGCCTGAGAAAAAGATTCAAAAGAAGGAAGGAGATACATTACAGAGCCTACGGAGTTCTACGGAGTTTGTCCTTGAGCGGTTTCTACGTCGTGAGGAGGCTATACGGCCCGGCGCACGGCATGTCCGAACTTTTACCTCGGGCAAGGGAGACAAGATGAAAGAGGAAAAAGTTTATAAGAGGTCAGACGTTGAGAAGTGTCTTTCCGCGGAAAGCTGGCACAAGGAAGGTCGGCAGATTAAGGTCGGAGAAGCCCCATTGAAGCTTGTCCCAATACGCGCAGTAACAATAACGCGGCAACGTGAAGTTGAGGAGGCAGAACGGGAGAGCGGTGAGAAGCAAAAACAGGGCTTATACGCCCTTTATCAGACAGAATACATCATTCCCCCACAAATTAAGGACGGGAAGATCCCGAAAAATGCCTACGGGAACATCGACTGCTTCGTCCCTTCTATGATCCCAAAAGGCGCGACACACATCCCCTGGCGCGGGACGGTGCGGATCTGCAAGAAGCTAGGCGTCGATTACGCGGAGGCGGTTACTGGGTTTGAGTTCGGGAGTAAAATGGCCGTGCCCGTCATTGAAGGGGTGGTTGTGGCATCTGAGAACGCGGGCCTTGTCAAGGATGCCTGGCGCGCAGAGGATGCTGAACGGCGTAAAAGGGAAAAACTGAAGCATGATAAACTTATTCTTTCGACGTGGAGGAAGTTCATTATGGGGCTGCGGATTGCTGAGCGCATTCAGGCGGAATATGGGAGTGGTGGTGATGGGGAGGAGCAGAATCCGTTTGCCAATGGTAACGGGCGATTCGATCGCAATATTCCTCCTGTCGATACTGGCTTTGAATGGGAAGACAGAAGGAGGGAACCTGTTGATGAGGGCGGTGGGTTTTTATTGCCTGGTGAGGATGGTGAGCTGGCGCATGACGGGGACATAGTTGATGAGAGGGAAGAAGAATCTACGTCGCGGATAGCAAGTGATATCGGAGATGCAGATTGTGGCGGAAGCGACATCGATCCAACATCTGAGTTGAGTGATGCTGTATCTGTTATCTCTGTTCGTTCAACGCCCTGACAGTTGACAGTACTTGGATTTGGACTGAAGATAAGTCTTTTTTATCACAAAACACTGGATTGGTAGTTTAAACGGGCATATTGCATATAGAAATAGAAAAAATATTATAAAATTATAATATCATGTATATGTGTGTATTTGACAAAATATTTTCCTTGCAAAACAGGAGCCCTTGAAACCCCGGGGCTTTGCTTGGCCATCACAATCCGCCAGACCTGCAATTCCTCAGGACACTCCCACCACATTGTCGTCCCACCGTATATTCAACTGCTTGCTCGTACACTTCCCTGGTACCAGAAACGCCTATTTCACAATGTCCCTAATCTCCAAAACCCCAATATATTTCGGCCCTTTCTTAGTGACACCACAGGAAAGCTCCCCCCACCACCCCCGGCCCCCGGAAACTCACACCCCACAACTCCTAACTAACATCAACAACCAACAGGTCTTCTACGTAACCCCCCTCTCCTTCGCCCTCGTAAACCTCAAGCCCCTCTTACCAGGCCACGTCCTCGTCTGCCCCCTCCGGCGCGTCCCGCGCGTCACCGACCTCACCCCTAGCGAAACAACCGACCTCTTCCTAACCGTCCGACGCGTGGGTCGCATGATCCAGCGCGTATACCACGGCACAAGCCTAAATATAGCTATCCAGGATGGCCCGGAAGCCGGGCAGACGGTGCCGCATGTGCATGCGCATATAATACCGAGGCGGAAGGCGGATTTGGAGCACAGGGGTGGTTCTGATGCTATTTATGAAATGATGGAGGGTCGGGAGGGGAATATCGCGAGGCATTTGGGGGAGATGGTGGAGGAAAAGAGGGAGAGGGAAAGGGAGAGGGAGCGCTCTAGGTTTCCGGGCGTTGATAATGAGACACGGGAGCCGAGGTCAGAGGAGGAGATGATGGAAGAGGCGTTTGCGTTAGCTAAGGAGATGGAGGGGGAGGCGGTGGATTGAAGGGTTTTCGTTGTCTTTTCGAGTGATATGGACTATACCAGTGGGGGTGGGAAGATTATATGGAGAGAGAGGTTGGGGGCGTTACAGTTACGGATTTAACTTTTAGAGGATTTTATTTACTGGCGTTTACGACATTTAGAGATCTATGATAATACACATGGAATTAGGTTGCGAGGAGGTAAGGCAGGAAATGTCTATTCCTAGGTTTGATTCTAAAACTTCTAGCGAATGCCATATTTATGATGCTGGGATCAAAAGGAAAAGAAAACCAACCGCCCAAAAAGAAAGTTTCAACTCCAACTCCGCTGTTAACATCGCAAAATGAATTGCTCGTGCACCGTCTATGGCATAAAAAATAGAAAATAAGGATGACTTGAAGACGACTTCATCGCTCATGGCACATTCATCATTGCACTAAAGCGTCCGAAGAGCAGGCTTAGGCGTCCCGCGACTGGCCTGCCCAGAATGATTCTCGTTCCCGCATCACGACCATAGCCCATTCCTTCACCTCAGGAAGCTTGATGCCTTCCAGGGCGTGGAAGAATTCCGACAAATCCAACTTCCCAGCATGGGACCGTTCATACTCCACGGCCTGCAGCAACAGCTCCAGCTTGTCGATGTCATGGACAAACTTGGCTTCGAGTGTAACGTTATCCTCATACTCTTGGAATATCTCCTGGATATCCTGGGTGGCGAGGCCCGGTACCGCTCCAAGCAAAGGTTTGGTAATATATTCGATAACCTCCGCCTCCCGCCTGGCCTTTTCCACTTTCGTTATGTGTGTGTCTGCTGGCGTGATGTCGCCGACTATGGATTCTGCCATGTCATGTATCAAAGCCATTTTCGTGCAGCGGGGAATGTTTAGCCTAGAGGCCAGAGCAGGCGGGGCAAACATCGTCATGATGGACATGCGATACATGTGATCAGATATCGATTCGCCATGGGCAATACCGAATCGTCTCCATCCTTCGCGTTTGGTAGTCTTTAGGCGCTCAAGAAGGTGGAAGAAAGGAACAGGAGTGGGAGTGTTCTCCGGAGGAGGATGGGGTAGGGTGACGAGGACTAGACATTTTATTGTCAGAATTCCGTCAAAGATAAGCCCATAGGATTGGAGAATACAAACCGGACTGAGCTGTCCATTGAGCTTCTGTCGGTTCAGTCGACCCCATGATATCGGCAATATCAGCCACCACGGGGGATAGGTAAGGCAATATTAAGAAGTAGGTTTTCAACGACGAAAAGTGTAAAGTATTTCGCAAGTCTAATTACAAAAAATGAAAGTCACACCAAAGTATGCTCATCCAGGAGGAAACCTATCGTTCTCCAGCAGTAGTCAGGTGAAAGTTGGTTTGGAAGATTGTAATCCGGAGAATCAAAGCAAATTGTGCAAACTGTGCAAATACGACAAACAGAGCTCTTGGCACCTCATCCCAAAGTAAACAAAGGGCTTCAACCGTTCTTCATTCTATGCAGCGACAACGGCAGCTGTCAAGCTGCATATCTACCCACTTCGACGGCTCCATGCGCGGAAGAGTAGGGACAAAAAGGAAACCACGGATGAATACAGAGTGGCATTATTGGTTAAATCATTGGAGTATCGATTATGACTTTTTGCAATGCAATCTTCCACCCGCCCTTCACCTAAACCAAAGGGGCTTAATTGGCCGGTGTCCTCAAATATCACCATTTTTGTGCGAAACCTGAGGCTGCTACGCCTTGACCAACTCCCTGACTGGCCAAATATAACTGTCCGCTCCTTTGCAGGCGCTCAACCAAATCTCCGCCAACGCATTAAAGCGGTGGAATGGTCTCTGTACCAACTGTTTACGATATGGGACCCAGAAGGGACCCAGAATGTAAGCCTCCGTTAGATAGGCCCAGTACCATTCTACTATTGTATTTGAAAAGGATTCTAAACCTTTGTTCTTTTTTTTTTCCTATGCTATTAGAGATTGCGCCCCTTTTTCCCTCCACTGGAGCCCTTACAATCTGTTAACCTTCGGGCTGCGCTTTTTCGTGCCCTATCCGATCTCAAAAAGAATGGCGTTCTCGGAAGAGAAGCGATCCTCCGCAAGACGATGCTAGATGAGTGCAAAGGGGAGAAGTTCGAGGAGGCACTGGCCACCTTTTCTTTGGCTGTGTTACGGGAGGTGATATTGGCGCGCAAGGGTGAACACAAAAATCCAGTTCTTGAGATGACAATCAATGGATGCACTTCCTCCCCAGAACAAGAGATGCTGGTTCCGCTGGTTATAGCGCATCGTGCCGCACTTACGACCATGATTAATGATAAATGCCATGTACGAGAAGCTTATGACCATCTGAAAATTCTGCTTGAAAATAAGACGAAAGAGCTTGCTGTCCGATCAAAAGAAGCTGCGAACAAACCGACTGCAAATGAAGCCGAACTTACCCATGAGATAATGAACCTATGGTACGGAAATGAAAAATGGGCCGACATAATTCTCAATGGTGGAATGCAAGTGTTCACTGATCGCGTTCTTGAATCATCATTTTCACGGGCGTTGTCACTGATTAAGAATGGACGGTTGGATGACATGGAAAACAGGTCTTCTTCTGATCTATTGGCTGATTTGGATAATCGACTCGCAGAGCAGAAAGCCAGGGTTGAAAAGTGGCGGAAGTTTAAACAGACTCTCGTTGAAGAAAGACGTGCATCACCACCATCCAAACATCGGAGCTCTTCCAAGATTTTGGCATTTCGGAACCACCAGCCGTTAACGATCGCTTCACTTGCTCAGTCAGATCGAAAATCGACTCCACCGTCGCTAAATGACACGAAGTACTCCTCATTGGTTTCAGATCTTGATGCTGCACTTCTCAAGCACAATGTCAATATCTCTCAGAAGAAAGAGCGGCCAGATTCAGGGGATCCAAGAAATCGGAGACTATCCAATATTCATTCAAATCGTAATTATTCACTGGACCAAGCAGCGTTAAGTCTTCTCGCCGACCAACCAACTCCCAATTCCAACTATATGGATAATGCTTCCATCATTTCCTCTCTTCCAACCCAGGGGAGCAGCAGAGGCTCCCCTAGGCTAGAAAGCGGAGAGGTAAGCGGTTCAGGAACTCCGCATTACGAATACTTTTCTGGCGTTGCTACTCCATCAATCACCATCGAATACGATTCGAACCCTAGTCCCGTAAACGAGGACGCCGAATCCCCACAATTAATCTCTGTAAATTCTACGTGCTCTGTTTCAAGCAATCTTATTGAACGTACAAGACATTCAATGTCGTTCCTCCCCACACCTAGCGCACGACCCCGACAGTCTCTAGCAGCGAAGCCTCGAAAATCGCAAGTATTTCCTACAAACCAGTTTGAAACTCCCAAAAAGCGCGATTCGCGGAGCCTCATGCCAGGAAGCTCTGGAACGTTAACCCCCAAGGAAGAACTGTTTAGTCAGGATGCGGATTATGCCAGCGTGTTTAAGAGCAGGCCTAGGGTGGCCATGAGCCCCGTGAATTCTCCAGCGGTACACATATTACCGCTGGATGATCGTGATATGGATGGAGATGGGGATCGGACTATTGATATGGATGCTGAAATGTCAGAAGGCGACTTGCAAAACTCGCCGTTGTTTGGGGCTCGGTTTACATCTAGAGCATAAGTTTATACTGCCTCCCAAAGTATTATTCAACCTAGCCTAAACTGCAGTATTCTTGTCCTTACCGATATCTCACCTCGGAATCAACCCACCTATGCGTCTATACCCCAGTGTTTAGAAATCATGGTGTCTTTGTGCTCTAGGTTTTGGTTTAGTAGTCACTTTGTCCGCAAATGAGATCTTGGTACCGACATTTGGCTTCGGTTATCGATAAGGCGCAGGAACACCAGCGAGTTAGCAACTTTTACTACCCGAGATGATATGCTAAAGGATTATATGCTCAAAAAGGCTGAGCCCGCCTTGGGACTAGTCGTATTAGTATATCTCAATTTTCATTCCCGTGCGGTCAGTATCTTGCGTTTTGAAAATTATTGTCAAATATTTCCGTGAGGTTTCGCATGTCAGCTCCTGTCCTAGTTGGGCGGCTCCCTCCCATCGCCATATACCACCGCACGGCCACGGCTAAAATATCCTCCATATTGTTCATTTATGTCGATAGGTAGTTTCATTTCTGTTTAGATAAATGACAAAAAAGAATTCCTAAAAAATTAACTGGCACGTCCGAGAGAAGCTTGTAAGCTCTCTCGCCAGGGGCTGCTATCCATGCCTAACCCTCGCCCAATCAAGACCATTTTGCAGTGGTTCCCCGAAGCCGATGGGTGCCTGCTATCAGTCTCTGTAATATCAAATACTTCCTGTACTCCCTGGATGACCTGCGTACTGCCATCTGTCAGGCAGAGCAACCCCTTTAATCGATGGATTTCAAAATCTTCAATCTTCTGCTGGCCCTGATTTGTCGGTGGAAGTTGACGCTCCCACAGTAACGAGCGCAGCCATGCGTCCACTTTGGGCACGCATTCTGGCGTTATCTTGTCAATGGTGAAGGAGAGGGTTGATATTGACTGGACGGAGCATAAATAGTCAGAACGAAGAAGAGGGGCAACCCTCTACATAGGGAGGCAAATTCAGCAAAGAAGAAGCATAACCTACAGGATCCAGATGACTATGGCCCTTCTCGCTGAAATCGACATCGGTCACATTGTCATAAGCATGGAGTTCAAGCACTGTGCCTTCGAGATTGGGGACTTTGCTATGATCCGTCACAATAATTTTAGCCAGGCCGTTAATGGAGATTACCCGCTCCTTAACCTTGTCAAGCTCAGCGGCAGTAAGCAGGTCACTCTTGTTCAGTATGATCACGTCAGCATGTGATATCTGGAGATGAGCTGTGGTAAGAACCGCGCCGTGGTGCGTTCCCTGGACCTCCGCCGGCGCTGGCTCGTCAAGAAGCCGGAGGATGTTCTTCCCATCGACTAAGGTGACGATCCCATCCAGGTAGATAGTACTGCCTAGGCCATCGTCAACCCAGAACAACGGTGCAATGTTACCTGGATCGGCAAGGCCGGTTGTCTCCAGCAAAATGTAGTCAAATGTGCCTTGGCGCTCCATGAGCGATTCAATGGCGACTACTCCCGTGTCTCTGTCGGTGATATTAGCTGGAATAGTAGACACAAATGCAAAATATGCATATAAGCTTTTTTTTTTTTTTTTAACTTACCTAACGGAACAACATATGCAGCCGTTCGCCAGTTCGAGCCATTCTTCAACTTGTTGGCCATCTTTGTTGACCGTTAGGGATTTCTCGATATCAATGGCTGTAACAGTCAGTAACCAGTAGTTAACCCCCCAAAACAGCACACAACACGCATAAAACCGTATGTATATAAGACCAGAGGGTCACATACAATCACCAAATTCTACAAGGCCCGTCAAATCAGTCAGCGGGTGTGTAAACTTAACATATGGATCAGGCTGGGTGGTTACAAGCCGTTTAAAATCACCGCTATTTTCTTCCCATGCTCCTCTCCTAGGATATAGTTAAGTAGTGTCGTCTTGCCCGCGCCCAAATAGCCTACAACGAACGCACTTTTATTTTAGCTAACAACAGTCGTATTATTTCTTTACTGGACAACACAACAACTCCGCATCCACTTACCTGTTACTATTGTGATAGGGACTTTCTTGAACTTCCGCTCAGTAGGTGACTTTGCCGCCGTCTCTTCCTCGAGGGCGTCGACATCAACCAGTTCAGGCGGGCCTTCCTCATCGCCGTCTCTAAAGTTCATCTTCTATTTACCCAAACAAAAGAAGTTTCGATTGCAACCAAAACAACAGTATCCGGAGGAGGAAGCTGGACAATCTTTGCTCTGGTATCCTATCGACTCGCCCAGGAGTTAGTTAATAAATAACTTATCTCCACGACTCTACCCCAGCAGCTATATTCGGCAGGGTTTAGGGCTTAGGGCTTGTCGGGGCGGCAGAACTAGCCTCCGCCATGGCCTTGGATTGGTGCTTGTTCGAGCCAACGTCAGAGCTTCACCAGCGGGCGTCGGGCAGCGAAGACGACGACGAAGACGACGACGGCGACGACCTCCAGGCTCTCTTCCCGCTGTTCCCTACCAGCCCTACCACGACGTATCCTCCCCGTCTGCGCCAGCCTGCAATGACGACTGCTGGTGCTTCTCCCTCGAGCTCGCCTCGATTGCCTAGTCCCCCGCCGTTCACAGAGGTGCAGATTGGGCCTCAATCCCCTACGGTTGGCGAAGGGTTTGGAGCTACCAGCGAAGAGCTCCTGGGGCTACCGCATGAGCCTGACGATGCGTCGATGCGGAGAATACGTCCGGGGACCAAATCTGCAGACATGGCCTCAGGTCCTCCTCTGGTTCCTCTCTCCCAAGTTGGTCAATCCCTCAACCTCCCTTGAGTGGCTGGGCGCTAACCAATTGTCGCGATTCAGCTCGATTCTCCATTCCAATTACAAGAGCACCTCAAAGCCTTGTATCAGCACTATACCAGACCTAGCGACTCCTCGACTCTAAATCCCATAACTCGTGACATTGCGCGGTTTCTTGCGGAGCCTCCAGAAGGAGTAGAAAGATCGCTATGGCTATATGAGCTTTGTCGATTTCTCACCATGAAGGCTAATAACCTGATTGTTGCCTTTTTTGCGGAAGACCCGCCGTGCTCTGCTCAAACATGTCCCGAAATGCGTGCCTCCGAATGGCAATACTTATGTGCCGTCCATGATCCGCCTAAATCATGTTGCGCCATCGATTACTGCTGTCACACCCTTGACTGGGCGGCGAATATCCTGACATCACCAAAATACTTCCCAAGCAGATTGACTCTTGGCTCGGAGTCATCTGGAGGGCCCCAGACGAGCATGAAGCATCTTACCAACATTTTTCGCCGCGTTTATCGGATCTTTGCACATGCGTGGTTCCAGCATCGCGAGGTATTTTGGCAGGTTGAAGGCCACGATGGACTATACATTTTCTTTAAGACGGTCTGTGATATTTATAATCTGATACCGGAGGATAATTATACGGTCCCAAGAGAAGCAGAAGGGCTCCAGCCACCGAACAACGTGGCTCCTGAACGTGACTCCAGTAGACGGATGACCATTATGCGGAAAGAGTCAGAAACACAGGCAGAAAAGCCAGTTCCCGGGGAACAGTCAGAGCAGGCATTAAATGTTGCGGCAACAACCAGACGGCACAAGGCCTCCCCTTCAGTAGGGGCTATTGTTTCAACTATCACAGAAGCAGCCGAAGATGATGGCCCCAACAAAAATGCCCAGGCAGCTGAGGAGGATGACTCTGTTGTGAAACTCCCAGATACTTCCGTTTCTGATAAGGAAGGTGACCTGTTACCGGTCCCATCAGAAACTCCCGCAAATGACCCAACCCTGGCGGAAGATAGCGTTATTGAAACCCCCACACCTGACGATGATGGGCTGGACAATCCAGAAATCGTCCAGCAAACATCAGAAAGCGATCCACTCGAACAGAGTGAGAAAACTAGCGATTCACTCGAAGAGAAAGAGCCGAATGAAACCGACATATTGGAGCCTGCTACTCTAGTTATCAATTCTAAAGCTATAAACGCAGATTCGTCAGATGACAAACCAACAATCCTTGAATCAGAGACGTCGAAATCAGACAAAACACCAGTAAATGAGACTGCTGATAAGGGATTTGGTAGCCCTAGTAGTCCCGGAAGTCCTGGCAGTCCCGAAGCTCCTACGACCGCGATTGAAGTCAAAGCAGCTGACTCGGACAAGCCTTTCTAATTATCTTCTCCTTTCCCAGGCTACTACGGTTAATTATACGTTCTGTTTATAACTTCCTTTACTCAAGAGAACCTTTCGGCCGGCGTCTAATTTTCCAGAATATATAATCCCCTTTATTGATGGGTGTACATGATGTACCGTTTGCAGATGTATATCTTGATTCCTTTATTTTCTTTGTTTACTTTCTCGTTCTTGTCTTCCTTTTATGGTTTGTCTCTACATATTTCGTTCTGAGCGGATATTCCCAAATGATGATATTCCTGGGCTTTTTCTTCTTGCTATTCGATTCCCCCCTCTTACTACTTCCTCTATTGACCGCAAATTCGCTATATTTTTTCATTGAGGAAATTGATTATGGCGCTGGGATGTTTGCGGATTCGGGCAGTGAAATATACCGGGGTGTATGTATATGGAAGTAGAGTTTGGATAGATGCCCCATATCAACCTTTTACTTAAGTTTACTGTTAGCAGTTGAGGGAAGCGGACTTTTCCACTTCTTCACTTCCTTCGTGCCGGGAGATATTTAGCGGATGAGTAATTATGGCTTAACCCGATAACTATAGAGTCTAGACAGCGATTATGTCGGACATTTATACACAATCGCTGTACGCCGTGTCAACGGGTTTATTATCCGAGTTAGAATGTCAGGGGCAAAATGAAAGTGAGGTCTAATGCCTAATTTATGTGTGCACCATCTCTGTGGCACTGTTAGTCCGACAGAAATATCTCATGCAAAAGGTACTGGCTGGACAGAAGTCATCTGAACCCAAGCAATGGGGCTTCCAATACACAGATTGCTGTGGGAAATGCAGTTTACGGCTCTGGTTGGTAGGTCCAGACCTTGAATCCCGTCGCATGGAAGAATTCATATTTCATACAAAAAGATTGTCTGACTACAATCTTCATACTATAACTTTCAATCATAGCTCCTAAATACAGATATCCATAAGAGCTTTGTCCCGCGCTGTCGAAGGTTAGGCTCTTTCTTTCTCTCTCCGAACGAAATGTCGGTTCCATGACACAAAAGCGTCGTTTCAGTAACCAGAAGGTATATAAAATGGGGTGAGAGAGATGAAATGGAAAAAAAAATGGAAAAAAATAGCTTCAGATCTTATTAAAAATTGGTTAAAAATGCGAATGAAAATATAAAAATGTCATAGCTCATAACATCGTGAAATCTTGCACGGCAATTGCTACCGGCGATGAAAACAGGAAGAGAAAAAAAAAAGAAAAAAGAAAAAAGAAAAAGAAAAAAAAAAAGGGAAAAAAGACAAATCCAACGAAAACAGAAAGGAAGAGGAGAGGAGAAACATGAACGTGAATAAACGAAGAAGGCAACAGAGTGAAGGCGAAAGGCCCAATCTCGAGAATGGCTAGTTTAAAATGTTTGGTTATCGTTATGGAGAAAGGTAAATAGCACTTGAAAGAATGATTGGAAGGGTATCACTCGGAGGACAGCACATCGATCTGTCGAATTTTGAAAAGATTCACCACGTTGTTGAATAACTGGATGGGAGGAGGGGAGGATAGAGATTGACAGCACGAAAAGCTGCAAGGATCCGGGAAATGATAATTGAGGGCGGCCGACACCCGTTATTCGTCCGACGATGCGGGGGTTGGACGAGGCAAATTTTGGAATGTGACTAAGGGGAATTGTAATATGAGTTGTGTAGCGTTAGGAGTCTAGATGTAGTCGTGGGTGTTCGGTGGAATCAGTTCCGCTTTGGATTAAAGTGGGGGGGAGCCGGGAACTTGATGGTGCGTTGGAAGAAGAGCAAATTGTATCACCATTCCTGATAATAATGATGATGTGCATTCACAGGGATCCTACAGGCGACTGGGAAAATGTTAGTTTTCTCATCTTGAGTCACCTGCGCGGGAGTCATGCTGTTAGCCACTTACTTTCACGGCTCGCGCCCAAAGCGAAGGTTATTCCCACTTTTTGTGGAATGGAGCGATCCCCCGAACTCGTCTGCCAGGGGCGTGATTGGATTCCGGAAAGGGCGTGCAAAAACAATAAGAAGTGACAAACCATGCATGAGAAAGCCTCGAACTTGCGAAAAATATCAAAAGATACAAAAGCGATGTAAGGGAATTTTTTTTTATTTCGACGGGAAGAGAAACACGTTACTGTCAAAACGCCAGGGAAAACTCCGCATTGTCAAAGAAAACAAAGAAGGTAGAAAGTACAGTACATCAAGAAACAAGTGGGGTAAAGAATAAGAACACAATAAAGATTTTGCCAAACATTCAGGTACCAATCAACAATGCTTTTGTACGTAAAAATAAACCCTCGCCGGAAGCCAAAACGGTTGTGCCTCAGAACGAAAAGCTGCAACACAAACTAAGTCCAAAACCAAAAAATAAAATAAAATCGGAATGAAATCACAAACAAATTAACAGAAGTAAAACTATGATTGACCCCTTACCATCCCAAACATCGGAAAAATTTTCTTCATACCAATGTGTCTAAACATGCTGTCGTTAAATAAAACTGGGTTCGTTGCCGAAATGGAAATGTAGAGTGTTAAACGCTAGAACACAGAAAGTCGGAACTGAGTAACTGAGTAACGTTGGTAGAGTGGTACATGGAACAGAGCATAGCTGACGTTTCCACCCGTTGGATGGACAATAAAAGAATCCTGTAACGTAACGGTTCCTCTCAGGTAAGTTTGTTGAGTAGGACGAGGAGTGGAACCCTGGGTTTTAGTCGAGCTGGCTCAATTGTTGGCAAAAACATGGGTTAGTTGTAACGTCCGTACCCATCCTTTCACGAATGGGAAAGAATATGCAAGATGGGAAATCCCGAGTAATTGGCAGCCTATGAGACAAATATGTTTGCTAAAGGTTGTAACTTCCTCACTAGGCACTCTCGGGTATCAAAGAACACCGTCAGAGCTCTGTCAGGATAGTTGGTTGGAAGTTCTCGTTGGACAGGATCCTTAGAGGCCGGATTAATCGGCAATTCCGATTGGAAAAGGTCTCCAGAATGACCAGTTTCATACCGTTGTGGCCTTGAAATTTCTTTCGGGTTAGAAAGAACATATACCATAGGGGATATCACTGGAGACTCCTTGGAATCCCGAGAGAGAATGGAAGTTTCAGGGGGATTCCTAAAACTGTATGATAAGCTGGGTTAATTGGCAGCCTAGATACAAAAGGTCGTCCGTCCGAGAGTTATGTGGTGAAGTTAGCTCTGATCGAAGGGCTGGGGTATCCGGCCTTTGAATGGATTGAGGGACCTTCATCCAGAATAGTATTGGAACAAAATGAACTGCTATTCCACGGTTCTTGCTCAAAATGGAAGTCCTTAAAAGCCGGGTTAATTGGCAGCTTTGATACAAAAAGGTCGTCCGTCCGAGAGTTATGTTGCCCAATGAAGTCTGTTTGAAGGGCGGGAGTATCCGGCCATGAGGGGATTGAGGGGCCTTCATCCAGAATAATATTGGAACAAAATGAACCGCTATTCCGTTGTTCTTGTTCAAAATTAAAGTCCTTAAAAGCCGGATTAATTGGCAGTTTTGATACAAAAAGGTCGTCCGTCCGAAAGTCATGATGCGAAGTGATTTCCGTTTGAAGGGTGGGAGTATCTGGCCTTGAGGGGATTGAGGGGCCTTCATCCAGAATAATATTGGAACAAAATGAGTGGCTATTGTGTTCTTGTTCAAGATGGTAATCCTTAAAGGCCGGGTTAATTGGTAGCTTTGATGTAAAAAGCAGATCATCCTGCTTCACTGGCTCAGGGGAGCTGACAGCCAGATTCACTGACAGCTCTAACTCAATGGGCACGTCATCCTGCTGTTCTAGTTCAGAGGGGTCTTTAAAAGCTGGGTTAATGGGCAATTTCGATATAAGCAGGCTATCACCACGCCCACTTCCGGTATCCTGCTGCCTGGAAGAGTCCATTAGGGAATCCGGGGAATTCATTTCTGTGGGAGTTGGGACCTCAGAATCTGGATTTGAATGCCTGATATCCTTTGGTACAATTGAAAGAGGGAATGCAGGATTTATGGGTAACGATGACTCAAGTAAGATACTTGAGAAGCTTTGGGAAAAGGGTGTATGTTGCACTAGTGGCTCAGTCATTTCGACGACCTCAGTAGGGATGTGGTATATTTTCTGTCCATCGCTCTCAACGCCATCATGGGAGGGGGTAAGTTCCTCACGTAATTGCGGTTCGCTGTTCTGGTCGTTAGGCATCATTATACTGCACCTAATACCACACGAGATAGGCGGTTTGACGCCTGAGTATATTTCGTCCAACGAACTTTCAAACGCTAGAGTGTTATGCATTTCTGAGCATAGACCAGCCCTCGAGGGGGATTCCAGTTCGATACTACCCTCTTTAGTAGGAAACTCAAGTGGATTGTCCCCAATATGGAATTCTCCAAATTGTCCATTCAGCTCTCTGAATTCCGAAGGGAAGCGTTGCGGCCCGTGATCGATGCACGGATCGAAGAATATTACGTCTTCCGAGTCACGTAGCGATTTAGGTCCACTAGTCAATTTAATATCGTTAGCAGGTTGCTCCAGGTATTCGTGATTCCATATAGAAGGGCTATCATCCTGGTATCCGCAATCATCTGGAATTTCCACCGGAGGAAGTACCAGAGCCTCTAAGCTGCTCGCTGCAAGCTCCTGGGGTACAATCGTTGAATCCTGAGGAAATAAGCCAAGTAATTCTTTGGCTGGAAGTCGTTTCTGAGGACTTGTACTTAGACAAATGTCAACAATGGTTCGGTAGTAGTCAGGAACTTTCATATCGATTGGGATGATGAATGGTCGAGGCTGGCTGCCAGGTTCATCTATTTCCATAGCAAGCGCCCAAAGCGTCATCCCTAGCTGGTATAGGTCAGACTTAACCCCGATGTACATTGATATCTTTTGCTTGCTTTGTAGTAGCTTCGTAAATTCCGGAGCCTCCCACCCCACGGGACAACCCCTCCGATTGATATCAATAATTTTTGCGTCGTCATTGGCGTCAACGACGATATTCGACACGGTGAGATCTCCTTGAACAAAACCAGCTTCGTGGATTTCGGCAAGGCCTTCGATAATTTGTCGGGCCCAACGAGTTCTCCTGGACCATTCAATAGTTCCTTTATAGTCGTAGATCAACTCGACCAAGGAACCCCTTTTTGCGAAGTTGATTAAAAGACCTTTGGTGGTAAACATATCATCATCCACAACGATAGCTTTAAGCTGGATGACACTTCGGGAACCGATCAAGGAATGAAGAGCGTTAATTTCATAGAGAAACTCATTGACCATATCCGGCCCTGGAATTTCTTTCTTCACGTAGTCCTTCCCATCTAGTTTCACTTGGTAAGCAAATCCAGACAAATGAGAAACAAAGGAAAGGTCGCTCTCGCGGACCAAATCCAATCCCAGATATTCAATGGTAGATATCGGCGGATAAGGAATGATCTCATTCATATCCTCGGTGACGTGAACATGAAGCCGACCCTCCCTGGTTTCTAATCTGAGGTTGGTGACGGTGTCATAGAACTGGATTTCAGGCAGAGAGTCACGGATCGATTCGTATATCCGAGCATTCTTGTCCCGTTGGTAGTATAGTTTTTTGAGGTCCCGTTCCAGGGACTCTGGTTCGGCATTTCGGTAATCGCAAGATACGGTAACTCTCAGCCATCTATTCGGGGTCTCTGCGTAAGTGACGAAAAACTTTTCTCGCTCAGAACGATCTCGAAAGTGCATGCTCAAATTCAATATCCATCTACTATCCATCTCCTTCTCCAGCATGTCTTCCGCCTCCTCTCCATCTACAGAGAAGGTACCATCAGTATAAGTTCCATACCCATATTGGTTCGGCGCATGTAACGGTGAGTTATCCACCCACGAAGGAATGGTGAGATCCTGATCATTATATTGCACCTCTGGCGCTGACAATCGTGCGGCGCGAACTGGCGGTGGTGATCGGGTTCGATGGCGGCTTCTGGCTCGCCGTGCGTCCACGGAAAGCGCTCGACGACATCCTGCTTCAGTGGGGTAAAGGCGCTCCCGCTGTTCCGAATTCTGTCGCTTGAATGTTGTATGGCGAGGCAGGCCCACTTCAACTCCGCCCGATACTGGCCGGGGACGATTATTGTTGTTGTAGTTGTCGCTTTGGCTGCTGACGTCGCTGTTCTCATTATTGTAACAAGTGGCATCACGAAAACTTCGAGATCCGCCGGAGGATGAACGGCGGCTGCTCTTTGGCATCCATGGAAACCGAAATCGATGCCACATGCTCCGCTTTGACGGAGGAGTCTTTTGAAGGTTAGGCATGGGAATGCACTGTTGAGTCAGGGACCCGGGTCTGTCGAATATCGAGATGGCCATGCAGCACAATTTGGCTTGAGCTCTGGCTCCTCAGCCTCGACACGGGTGAGGTAAACAGCCGGCTGCACAAGATCGATGTGTCCATAAGAAAATAAAGGAAACAAAAAGAGATATAGCCCTATTGGGAACTGCGCGCTTATGGTGGGGGGTTCCAGGCAGGTCGCTCAGCAGCCGGTGGAACGAGTCGGGTCTATGCGCAGGAATGGCTAGATAGTTGCAGGTGGATTTGAAAACGAGAGTGCATCTGGCTCAGGATCATCCGCAGGAGAGGCTTTATACTCAATCGATTGCGGATATTGTCAGCAGAGCTGGCCACATCTGCCCGCTCATTCCAGGCGTCAAAGATGCAAATAATAGTTCATGGAAAACGCGGTACACAACCAGGAAAGGCAAAGGAGACGAACGCGAGGATAAGAATGAATGTTATGGTCGTAATGATATCAATTGCGTGAAAGAAAGTGAAGCGGAGAAAGGCAACGGGCCCAGGGTCAATTGTCGAATGTAAAACCGCGATGGATTTGGATGATTCCTTTGTGGTGTTTTGTTGGCGAGGAAAAGAAAAGATGAGGCTGATGGGAACGACCGAAAAGGAAAAAAAAAAAAAAAAAAAAAAAAAAAAGATCGCTCGGTTGGATGAATTTTTTTAAAAAAAATTTTCAATATCTTTTCTTGATTTTATTTTTTTTCCCTTTCTTTCCAACCAAAACTAGAGCTAGAGGAGCTTGAGAATATCATCCCACCCTGTCTCCTCGGTCCTTGCCGTCATATTATTTTATTAAGTCGATAAATCTGATTTATTTGCAGGAGAGGCCACGAGTAGCTTGGCAATAATAATAGGTATGTACAGCGTGGTTAGGAGGTTAGGATCTGAGCTGAGAAACATTACAGCGTACAGCGTACTGACAAAGAAGAAAACAGGCATGCTTGAGCCCGGATATGGATATGCATGTCGACCTAAAAGAAAGCAATTTGCCTACCAGATGGTGCCAAAGCAATGGGGCCACCCTTTCTTTGTTCCCCCAGCCAATCCTACGGGAGAATACGTTATCGAGGCACTCAATGCTATGCTACGAGGGAAAGGTAGGTACAGGTAACACCTAGCTGGGATTGTTCTGGAAAGGCTCTACTCGGTACATGTGGATGCTATTATTTCTTCCCACCAGGCGGAGCGCCATCAGCCACGGCCTTGGGCTATTGATCAAATCTATTATTGGATGCTACATAGATACTGCTCTCCATGTAGTGGTAGAGCAGTCCATATCGGCAATCCAAAGCTATTCCGCGATAAAAAAAAAATGAGAAGAAGAGGAACCCAAAAAGAATAAATAAACAAACAATTATTAGCCTTTCATCGAACGGTTCGCGTACCGTTTTCCACGAGCTCTAGGAAGCAAGTTTCGAACTCTATGCATCCGGCAAAATGAAATTAACTCATCTGTGGCGCAGTCAAAACATGGTGTAAAATAGCCACCCGTCTACATGCTCCACCAGGAACCCCTCCACTGGTTGAGGTCCTTGATGCCGACGGCCGACTGAATTCGACGAGGAGTAGATCCCATCATGTCATCTTTCATGGCAAGGGTATTTTTCTCTTTAGCCCGGTTTAGCCGTGGAATTCGGGTTGTTGGGCGCGCTTTTGGTAAGGCGCCGCTTGTTCATTATTGTTCCAACCATGCAACTATGCCTTAGTTCGGTCTTCTGGAATGTGTTGGCTCCAATTGACCATCTCCTCACTAACTTTTTGGTTGGAGGAGAAAGCCAGGTAGGGTATCTGGCTCCTCAGAAACAACCTGATGCGGTTTCTTACAGGTGGCCTTGTTGTACTGACACGACCGCGGGCTTCATTTCCTTTTCATTATTCGAATTCGTTGTTGTCTCCCTAATTCCATCCTAAACATGTAAGGTCGTCGGTGGTTCACTCCACTAGCTACATACTCTCCACGTCGATTAACAAATTACCTTGATACTGGTCTAACCTACCCCTCCCACTCTATCGCCCTGGTTTGGAAGCTCTGCTTCATCACGCGGAATGAATGGCGGACATCGACATCACCACACCTGGGGAACGAGGAGCTACTGAAAACATTTCAAAATCGTCCCAATCTTAGAGTCTCAAAGCCTTTCTCGGCTTCATTAAATTCTTCAGAGCTGTGAGTGGATTAGGCTGGCTTTCCCAGGAGTAGCTTTCGTGGTCAATCTTTCGACATTTCGATGTTGTCATTGTTGACGTGTTTAGGTCTTCCCCGCCTTGTTTCGCATTGAGCAACGCCCAAGGCTACCAATCTATAAAACTGTTAAATGTCAGGCACAAAAGCCTCGACTTCGCCTCGACAAGAATACGATTTTTGCGAAGAACAAAAACATACACGGCTGCCAGAGGCTGACAAGCTCAATCCAATTAACATAGCGGGAGTCATAATTTCTCAGTCGACCCAAAAATAAAATAAAATATAAAATAAAATAAAATAAAAATAAAATAAAAAATAAAAGAAATAAAAGACATTACTTTGCATGATGGGATTCTTCCTAGCAGATGAATCCCACCTTCTTGTTTGGGCGCGGGTCATATTTAACGTGACATTCCGCTGGGAAATAATTCTCCATTCCAGGCAGTATAGTATCGTTATCTGTTTCTGATCCTTTTGGGCCTTCATGAGGTTGCTCTCACTGTCACTGTCTCGGAGCGAAGTCGGGATGACCTCAGACGGGCCATTGATTGCCGCATATAAATTTGCCATATCCATAATGACGGATCCAAAGAACGAAACAAGAATATGGCGCCATGCCTTGAGCTCAAACCTGCAGAACTGCATTTCGTAGCTCTGCCAAGGGGCTCTAGGCAACCAAATTAAAAGAGACTGACTGGCGTTTCGCCGACCGACTTCGAGTTGGTTGCAGAAAGTTCGTAAGCGGTAGTTATACTTGAAAATTTCTAGCGAATTGCAGATGCTCCCACAGACTCTCAAGTCTAAATTCATCAACGAGTCTGGATCAAAAAGATAATTATCTTCGTCCTCTATTGCTGAAACATGTGTCTCTTTCCTCCTGCCCAAGTGGCAATTCGGAGGTTTCCAGCCAGTGCCAAAAGCATAATAATATCCTTTGATTGTAAAGGGACCGTCAAAAGTCGTCATATCTGGCTCGGCTCCCTCCCTTCCCTTCCCCACCCCCCAATTCGCAGAAAGCGCAAGAAGCCTTATGATCCCGCAAATCTTGAATCATGACGCACAAGGAAGAGAAAAAATATGCGACGGACGCTTCACCTCCCTCCATTGGCCCTATCAGGGAAAAATTTCCTGCTCAAAACGTCCCCACAAATTGGGCATCTGCCGCAGAGTAACTAATCAAATGAACCGGCCCTCAAACGGCCGTATATGACAGGACCCTAGACAGGGCCCTAGAAAGAACCCTGCGCTAGTACAGTAGTTACACCATGCCGCCTAGGGAGTTTCCACGTCCCTCTCGCACTCTGATTGGCTCATTTTCTGATGCTTTTCGATATTTTTTGGACACCCTCTCTCTCCCTCCCTCCTTGGACCAACCGGAATCTCAAACGTTTTAAATATCTATTCGTCCAGTAGTCAGTATTTCGAGAAACTCTTTATATAAAGGGAAATAAATCATTTTGAAATTGATATAATTGCTGAAATACGCACGCACATGCATCAGAAGCATGAAAGAAAAGGGAAAAAAGCCAACGTATGTAGAAACTCCCAAAAAGAACTTACACTCTGTAGCTAACTAAGCGGAATCACACCAAAATACGCCGGTGCATTGCGGGGCAGCGCAGAAGGGCATCTTCTCAGTCCTGCCAGAAACCCATCGGTCATATCTATCTATTCCTTATGAAAATGCTAAGTGGAGCTATCTAGATAATATGAGCGAGAAATGGTAATACCTGCAGCAGATCCACACTCTCACTGCCTACCCCAACTCAACTCTCCCGTCTTCATCGACTCATAAACACAGGGGATTATCAGATTGGCTTACAAGATAAAGCCGATTTATCAACTACAAATCCGTGATGAGGTGTGCAGTAGGGGAAATTCGAATTCGTCCTGGAGATAATGAGTAACTAGCGTATGTGATATGGCATTTTTGTTTTCGGCCAAATTTCGGAACGTGGACGGGACTAAAAGGGGCCAAAGCACTATAACCGACTCGACTGCCAATTTTCGTCTGTTCCCCTCCAACAATACCTCAAGTTTCTTAACTCTCAGAAAAAACAAAACTCAGACAGTGAGAAGTGAGATCGCTTCTAGGTTTCTGTGCCCATGATTTTTATGCTCTTTGGCTTATCTCCCCATCCGAACCCGATAAAAAAATACAAAGTTTTTTTTTTTTTTGTCAAAGTCCCTCATACGCCACAAAGACTTTTTTCCCCGGAAACATAGGGATGAAATAATAGGGAAATATTATATGAGATAAGAGGTATAGATAGTACAAATGGTCTGGAAGCTCCAGATGGTAGTTGATTGCGGTGCGGGTCAAACAAACAAATGAGGTGCGGAACCATAAATAACTCCGGGCCCATGCATTGAAGAGAGAAGAGATATATCATACCTATATATGCCAAGGGGGAAAATTTAAACGAGTCAACAAAAGTGGTAGAATTCTGTCCAGGCAAAAGGGGAGGAAGAGGAATGTACTGAGTAATAGAAGTAGCGTTACAGTAGTCAATCCAAAATACAAAATGTTAGAAAGATCTAAAAAGGGGAAATAATGGGTATGAATGGTGCTTTGAGACACCGATTCATTCGTCCTCTGTAGCGTTGGCGTCGGATTTTATAACAGCCGGAACTTCTTGGAGTTGGGACTTCCACATAGTTTGCGCCTGAACTTTGTCAAGGTCACGGAAGACGATGTCGAAGACCTCTGAGTACCAATTGACGTGATGACCTTCGATGCCCTTTTTGATGTTCTGTGGATTTTTTTTTAAGAAATAGAGAATGTCAGTCTTGCAAACAATTTCAAGGGTGGTGAGTGGCCGGGGCAAAATTGGCAGTCAAGATATGGCGGCTGAGAAGGAGAAACAAAGGGCAACGAACCTCTGGTAGCTCCAGCCAATCTGACATGTTATCAGCGGGGAAAATAATTGATTTGGCGCCAGCTCGTCGAGCAGCTACGGTCTTTTCACGGAGGCCACCGATACGAAGAACTTTACCCGTCACAGTGAGTTCGCCAGTCATTGCGATTGTTGGGTCCAAGCGATGGTCAAGAGCGAGGGAAAGCAGAGAGGTCGCCATCGTGATACCAGCAGAGGGACCTGTATTATTTAGTGTTTAGTAAACGTTCCTTTAATTGTGTAATTTTATACATACCATCCTTCTGCACTGCACCCTCTGGACAATGCAAATGGACCTTCGCCCGTTCAAAGAATCTATTCTCTGGAAACGCCCTGGCCATCAAAGATTTAGCGAACGAATATGCAATAACAGTAGACTCCTTCATGACGTTCATTAAATTGCCGGTCTGTTCGAGGCCTGGGCGGGACTTTGGTGACAGAGCCGTTTCCAGGATCGACTCCACATATAAAGCGGCCCCTCCCATGCTTGTCCACGCGAGACCCATGGCTACGCCTGGGGGAGTGACGTCGTAGAGCCTATCAGAGGTAAAGATGGGCGGGCCAACGTAATCTTTCAGGTTGTCTCTGTTTATTGAGACGTGAACATCATCTGGGACATGTGCCGCGACTAGAGGAGCCGGGGCGGCCGGTTGATGTGACTTCTCTGCTTCCTCGACAACACTCTCCTCGCCCTTCGTCGTCTCCTGCCCCTGCGTAGCTCTCACCTCCTCCCGAACGGCCACTTCTTCAAGATCCTTCTCCTGCTCTGGTAAATCCTGGATAATTTTCAGGGCTGCCTTCCTATAAACCTTCTCTATTTGCTTTTTTAGATTTCGCACCCCGCTCTCCCGACAGTAAGATTTAATAAGTTCCTCAATGGCATCTTTTTCCAATGTCACATCAGCATTCTTTAAGCCGCTCATTTCCTTGGCGGTAGGTGCCAGGTATCGCTCTGCGATAGCCATTTTCTCATCCGCAACATACCCAGAGAGCTCGATCATTTCCATTCTGTCCAGCAACGGTCTCGGAATCGTATCCGTCATGTTGGCTGTGCACACAAACAAAACTTTTGACAGGTCTACGGGTACATCCATATAGTGATCCAAAAAGGACGAGTTCTGCTCAGGATCCAAAAGCTCGAGCAGGGCCGACGCAGGATCTCCCTGGTGCCCTCGACCGATTTTGTCAACTTCATCGATAAGGATCAGGGGGTTTTCCGTCTGACATTTCTTCAGGGCTTGGATGACGCGGCCTGGTAGAGCGCCAACGTAAGTTCGTCGATGGCCCTTGATCTCCGCTACATCCGTAAGCCCACCAACGCTGAAACGATAGTACTCCCGGTTAAGAGCCCGCGCAATCGATTTCCCAATGCTGGTTTTACCGACACCAGGGGGCCCCACAAAACATAGAATCTTCCCCTCCACGGTACCGCGCAGTTTTCCAACAGCAATAAACTCTAAAATACGGTCTTTGACGTCTTTGAGGCCGTAGTGGTCTTCGTCCAATACAGTCATTGCGTTCTTGATACCAAATGTCTCTGGGCTCCTCTTACCCCATGGAATTTGCGTTATCCAGTCGAGGTAATTCCTTGTGACGTTAAATTCCGAAGCTGCGGGTTCGAGATGTGCGAGTTTATTCAGCTCCTCATCGAACACCTTCTTCACGGCTTCGGGCATAGCAAGTTTTTCAGATTTCTCCTTGAATTTTTCCACGAGCTTTTCCTTCCCATCGGATTCAATACCTAGTTCACGTCGAATACCCTTCATCTGTTCCATCAGCCAATATTCCCGCTGCCGCTTTTGAATTTTCGCTTCGACATCCTTCGATATTTTCGATTGCAACTGGGCATTCATGAGTTCTTTTTTAAGAACCACAAGGGCTTTGGAAAGGCGTTCTTGGATATTCATCGTATCCAGCACGTCTTGTAACTCCTTGACCTCGCCGGCGGAAACAGCGGCAGCGAAATCAGCCAGGTTCGCGGGTTCATCCATGATATTGCCAGCGTGACTCATGGAGAAGGTTGAGATTTGATCACGGAAAAGTGGATTCAGGTTCGCAATATCCTTAAAGACGTTTACAATCTCATTCGTAACAGCGCGAATCATGGTATTTTTCTTGTCATATGGTTCCTCTGTAAGGTTTTCCACATTGACTATGCTGACAGGATATTTGTGTAAAAATGAGGTAGGTTCGTATGGAGCCTCTTTGGGAGGCTGCTCAAACGTTGCCTCTTCAAAACTCGCGACAACATCGCCTTGCTTTTCGGGGGTTGTTTCCTTTGTAGGCTGCTGGTCATTTTCTGCTTTCTGTGACGTGTCACGCGGCGGTCTTAACGATGATATCTTAATTCTCCGGTGGGGATATAACACCGCAGTCAGTGCATTCTCCGTCCCATGCACAGGAAATACGCTCGTGATCTGCGCAAAAACACCAACATCATGTACTTCTTCCATATCATTAATTATATCCTTATCTGCCGCTTCATCTTTGAACAAAAAAGCTCCGACGTATGGTTGTCCGCGTTTCATCATTTCTTGTATAGCGGAGACAACATTGGGGTCCCGGACAGTAACTGCCTTGTAATACCCGGGGAACAACGGCCTCCGCGCAATTGGAATAGCCATAACCTGCGGATACACATCTGGGATCGTAGCCTTTTGTAACGCCTTCTCGGCAGAACTTTTCCTCCCCTTTCTCGTGCCATCGCCACTGCTTCCAGAGCCAGCGCTTCCGCCCACAGCACTTGCGCCGCTGGGTTTTGCATCCGCAGGCGAAGCAGAAGCAGGTATAGGCGACGGTGTATCAGGAGTCTTGTCCTTCCCTTCCGATGGTCTACCAGGCCTTGGCTTTTCCTCCTGATTCTTCTCTGTCTCTGTTCCCTCCTCTTTCTCCTCTTTCGGTTCGGGTGGTTGCGGCTTGTCTTTTCGGCGGGCGGTGCTAGCTGAGAAGCTTCGTGATACTGACGCAAAAGGTGAAAGCCGCAGTGTCTGCCCCTCTAGACTCGAATTGACGCAAATCCGGTAAGAAGAAGAGGAAGAAGGATATTTAGATGAGAGAGTCCGCGGTGACGTCTGCCGAAGGACTGCCCTCCATGGCAGGCTCTGGGCCCGAATCATAGTGCCGAAACGAGCCTGGATGTGGCGCTCTCGAATATATGTATGCGGGAGAAATTAGTGTGCAGTCTGCACATCTACTATCTCCCAAGCAGAGTTGCAGAAGAGAATTGACTCCGGCAGAAGAGTCAAGGGGAGAGAAAATATATGATCCTCTCTTTGTGATTAGTGAGACTCGGAGAATCCAATCGAACGATAGAATCCCGGCGGAACATTATTCCAGATCCCTGGCCAAACTTAGTCATCCAAAATACTTGAAACTTTTTTTTTTCCCATCGCGACGGAGATCAAAAGGAAGACTGTCCAATCTACTAGATATCCCACCATCTTGTCGTTTCGCTTGCCCGGACTTGCGTCTGCAGACAGTCTGGCTATCTCAACTCCCCTTCCAGCATTGGTGCATTATTGCTTTGATTTAAAATGAGCGCTGGTGCTCCTAGTATACCCCGGACAGCCCTTATACCGGCTCGTCTACTCCGAACCTCACGACACTGCTCTAATCAATGTGCCACGATACGGCCGCAAATTCAGTCGAAAACGTTTCAGAATGACTGCAGGATATACCATGATAAGCGGCCATTTTCAAAGCCATTAAATGACCGCAGCGCCCGTCCATTCTCAAAGGTATGCGTCTATACGAGTTCAATGGGCACCACATAGATGAACCGCTAACCGTTGGCCCGTGTCTACTTCATAGTCTTTCCATGCGTCTGCGCCGTCTCAAGCTACACGCGACCCTTATAGTGTTCTCGGAGTAGGCAAGGATGCGTCTGCTGCAGACATTAAAAGGGCGTACTACGGACTCGCCAAAAAATACCACCCTGACACAAATAAGGATCCCAATGCAAAAGAAAAATTTGCGGAGGCACAATCAGCATATGAGCTGCTTTCTGATTCAGAGAAAAGACAAGCCTATGACCGGTTTGGCTCGGGAGCATTCGATCAGAACGGCGGCTTCAGTCCTGGAGCCGGCCCTGGTGGCCCATTCTCAGGAGCAACTACTGGTGGTTTCCACGGGTTTGGCGGCGGGTTCCCTGGCGGGGGTTTCTCTGCGGATATAAATTTCGAGGATCTATTTGGTGCTTTTACCGGTGGTGCGGGTCGGCGGGGACGGTCGAGAGGAGGACCGTTCCGATCTGCGGTGGTAGAAGGGGACGATATCGAGGTACAGACGAACATCTCTTTCATGGATGCTGCCAAGGGAACAACGAAGGAAATCTTCATCACTCCGCTTGTTCAATGCAAAACATGCAATGGCGAAGGGACGAAACCGGGCAAGAAGCGGGCACAGTGCAAAACTTGCGGTGGGACAGGTTCGCAGGTTCATTTTATTCAGGGAGGGTTCCAGATGGCTAGTACCTGCACGTCGTGTGGCGGTGCTGGTATGTCTATTCCCAGGGGATCCGAATGTAATAGCTGTGGCGGCGATGGGGTAGTACGGGAAAGGAAGACGGTGCATGTCAATATCCCAGGCGGAGTAGAAGACGGAATGCGGCTGCGGGTGCCAGGGGAAGGAGACATGCCAGCAGTAGAACCCGGTGCCCGCACGCAGCGGGGCGATCTTTATGTCTTCATCAAAGTAGCCCCCGATTCCCGCTTCAGCAGATCCGGTTCGGATGTGCTATACACAGCACAGATCCCTCTCACAACCGCACTTCTAGGTGGTGAGGTCACAGTACCAACGCTGGATGGAGAGGTCAAGGTCAAAGTGGCCACAGGAACTGGTACTGGCGATAAGATTACTTTGTCAGGGATGGGAATGCGGAAACTTGAGGGTCGCCGTGGCCAGCAGGGTGACCTCAAGGTCGAATTTAAAGTTGCCATGCCGAAGTACTTGAATGCGAACCAGCGAACGATCCTGGAAGTGCTTGCTGACGAGATGGGTGACAAAACTGCTCGACGGATGATGAATATCAATAAAAACGACAAGTGAGTAGAAGGCCCATCAATTGTAAGATGCTGTGATAGGGGGGAATTGACCACGTATATTTTTCTTGTTTCCTCTTTAGGCCTCCTTCCCCCGACTCGTCAACATCTAACAAAGATAGCAGCACATCCAGCGATACTTCACACAAAAACGAAGGATTCCTCAAATCAGCGTGGCACAGACTCATGAACCAGCACGGCAGCGGTGGCAGCAGCAGCGGCGATACCTCTGCAAAACCCAACGATTCTGGTGACGGGAACAAAACGGACGAATCGAAGAAGGCCTCCGGCTCGGGATGATATGTACACCTGGTATCTTCAAAGAGGTTGAGGGTGTTATAGTTTTAATCCTGTCCTTATTTTGCTTCTTTTTGTCATAGTGTTGACAAGCAATGTTCTCCATCGTGTCTTTTTATCTTCTTGTATATGCCCCTTTTCCTTGATGGTAGGGTTTAATGTTTCCGTTTATTGTTTATTTTCTTTTGTATTGGAAGCTGTATGATTAAATAAATGCATAGCGGGGTGGGCCATTTAGACTTGGGGAGAGATGGATTGGATATCCCTTATTTCCCATAACCTCTGTACACTACTACTTCGCTACTACAATCACTCTATAGCTAACATCTCCGCTACGGTCAAGCTCGATATGAGACAAAAATAATCAGGAGCAATTATAAATCTATATAGGACAGCCGCATATAATTGTCGCATTATCAACGCCATAGCAGCTATATCACCAAAAGCATGGGCAAATAAAAAGGAGGACAAACATACGAAAGATATTCAACGAACAATGGCATTATTCCTAAGTGCCTCCAAGCCCCCTCTCATCTCTAGCGCCGTGCAGTGGTGGCTCGAACTACTACCAATCGCAAGCCATAGCTAGACTTGTTCCATACAGCATCTCCCATAGCGCGTCGATTTCTTGCCTCTTCCAGCAGCCAGACCTAAGAATAACCTGACCGTAGCCTCACTAACTCGCATAAACCTGGGCTTTGAGAAGAGGCGTCGACCCTGGCCTCGCTCCGGTCTCCCTAAGTATTTTGTTACACCGTACCCATTTGCTTCCATTTGTCCCCATCCTCTCTCACACTGTTGTTTGTTCGTGGTTTAAATCGCCTGATGTGTGGTTGTGTGTCCCGGTCTGCTAGTTAGTTAAATAGGCTGGAGTGATAGTTAAAAGGGTTTAAGATCCGGTGATGACATTTCTTAGTCCACCGCCAAACTAGCAACATCATCGTCATTGTCCTTGGGCGAAGACCAATCCTGAAGTTCCCAATACCCCACATCCAGCCATCGAAAGCCTCTCTCCAACCACTGCTTCTGCAGGCCAAATACGACTCGTTCCTCTCTGACCACTTCTGCGACCGCTTTTCGACTGGTGTTTAGGAAAGGGAGCTGTGTTTGTTACCTCCGACTCTCCTCACTGTTTGCCTACCTAGCCACAACATTTTACCTCCACCTCTTTTGCCTCACCACCCCCCACCCACCCCCTTAACCCCCCCCGCGGCGGGCCATTCTCAAGATGGTGCAGTCACCTATGATATCGAGCCCGCTGAAGCAAACAAGCGAGATCGACTGGATACAGCCCCTCAAGGCCTACATCCGGCAGACATATGGTGATGATCCAGAGAGATACTCGGAGGAATGCGCAACGTTGAACAGGCTGCGGCAGGATATGAGAGGTGCTGGCAAGGATAGCGCGGCTGGGCGGGATTTACTATATCGGTATTATGGCCAGCTTGAACTGCTGGATTTGCGGTTTCCGGTGGATGAGAACCATATCAAAATATCCTTCACCTGGTAAAGTCTGCCATGCTACATGAGCAATCAATTCCGCTATGATTTTTTGCTTGCTCCGGCTTCTTTTTTTCTAACTTATTGTTCTTTTACAACACTTGGCAGGTATGATGCGTTTACACACAAGCCAACATCTCAATACTCATTGGCGTATGAGAAGGCTTCGATTATCTTCAATATATCCGCCGTTCTATCGTGCCATGCGGCGAACCAAGACCGATCTGAAGACACTGGGCTGAAGACCGCTTATCACTCCTTCCAAGCCTCTGCGGGAATGTTCACTTATATCAACGAAAACTTCCTACATGCCCCTTCGACGGATCTGAGTAGGGACACCGTTAAAACGCTGATATCGATAATGCTTGCGCAGGGCCAGGAGGTTTTCTTGGAGAAGCAGATAGCTGATGAGAAGAAACCAGGGTTTCTGGCTAAGCTCGCAAGCCAGGCAGCATATCTCTACTCACAAGCTGCAGAAGGTGTACAGGAAAATGTGGCGAAGGGCATATTTGAGAAAGTGTGGTCGATTGTCATTCAAATAAAAGCCTCCCTTCTAGCTGCTGTCGCTGGTTACTACCAAGCCATTGCAGATGACGAAGGGGCTCTCTACGGAATATCCATCGCCCGACTCCAGCTGGCTGAAAAGCAGGCTACCTCAGCAATGAGTTGGGCGAAGTCTTTTCCATCCTCTCCCCCCGCAGGCTCAAACCTAAGCGCGGATACTGGTCCGATCTTACTCGATCTCACACGGCGACAGCTGGCGAATATCCAGGAAAAACTGGCATTGTTTAACAAGGATAACGATTTTATATACCACCAACCAATCCCTTCTGAGCCCAGTTTATCGACCATCGCGAAGTTGCCCGCTGCAAAAGCAATGTCGGTTAGTGAGTTATACCAAGGACAAGATATACAGAGGATAATCGGGCCGGACATTTTTCAAAAGATTGTTCCAATGTCCGTTACAGAATCAGCAAGTTTGTACGATGAGGAGAAAGCGAAGCTGGTTCGTGCAGAGGCGGAGAAAGTTGAGGCCGCGAATGGTGAAATGGCTGCCAGTCTTGACTACCTCAAATTACCAGGAAGCCTGAACATTTTGAAGGGAGGAATGGACCAGGATATGGATGTCGATGAAGATTTTAAGATGTGGTGTGATGAATTGGCTGATGCGCCTCCTTTTCGCGAAGCTTTCAACGAGGTGCAGGAGGAAAAAATATCCATATTAAGCGTATTGGATCAATGCTCTAAGCAACTGGATATGGAAGAGAGTGTTTGTGAAAAGATGCGGTCCAAGTACGGAGCGGACTGGGTACAGCAGCCCAGTTCCCGATTAACATCGACCTTGCGCAGTGATATTCGAAGCTACCGTGATACCATCGGCGAAGCCAGTTCCAGCGACTCGCAGCTTCTCGTGAACCTGAGACAACATGAAAC